AATCCGATTTGTTCATCAATTGTTGAGAGTAATGCTCTATGATTTGAGACAACTAAATCTAAAATTAAAATTTTAGCAGCGATAAGGTCTATATTATGTAGGTAAGTGGTCTGTCGGACCAACTTGGACTCAGCTCCAATATTACACAGAAATATATAATTGCGTTAATGTTGATATACAATTATTCATTGAATAGACTATTGAACATCTGTTTAGTCTGAAAATGAACAAATTCTGTTCGTATTGTAACCATTTCTTACAATAGATTGTGTGAGATATTCTATCTAAAATGACTCATATAGATGTTAATAGATGTATTGACAATTTGATTTTCATTTAGTGACAGTATCGTCATGGAATTATGAAAGAATAGTTGATATATAACAAAAAAAGGCGATAAAAAACAGAATTAAAAAAAATGTTCACAATTCTATGTGAGAATGCATATGAATGGAAAGATAACATTGGAATCACTAATTGTGTTTATCGTATGTGAGTACACATGAACTAATAAAAAAAAAGATAGATAATTCCAGTAGCTTAAGTGTTAACTTGTAATACAAAATATCTCACTTTTTTTTAATATTCTAAGCTTTATATGCTATTTAAGGTAAACATATTATGCGATACATTCTAATTTATACACTCTCACTATATATATAAAAGTTTGTAATCATATAAAAATATTTCAATAAGAATCAAAATAAGGAGAAAAATTGATTGATTTGCATTGTAGTAAACTTGTCCACCAGTGAAAAATGATGATATGCTGATAATTTATGCATGAAGTTATCAACTATAGATGATTATTAATTTCCCCAGAGATGATTATATTTTTCTAATGAGCTGCATAAGATCATTACGACAAAGGGTCGCCGGGAACTACCTTATTAAAATGTGCAACAGAGTACAAATTTTTTCTTCAACGAAATTTCTTAGATGCAAAAAAAACCTGACGATACATCGAGAAAGTCATAAAAGCTTTTTTTTCTCGCAATACTTACAAAAGCAAAACATTTTTTCTTATTTATGTAAAAGGTATGATATGTCAAGAACAAATTTTACTAATAGCATTTTTAATTACTTCTTTTTGACAGATGTTCAGTACATAATCCATTTTTTAATTATCAATTTTACTTATATTTAAGTAAAAGATACTAAATTGAGGAGGAAACAGCAGAAGCCTCGGGCTTGAAGTTCACTATTTTCTTCTCCGACTAAATTCGGCAAATATATTGTATAGAAACGGAGAATACATTTTGTATTATAGATAAGTCAATCTAGAGAAACCATTAATTGATGTAAAGCAAATTTCATTGACTGAAGGCGACAAATAATGACATGAGATTCATTTACGTAAATTACATCTATTCATGGATCAGGTGAGAAATGTCATTTTCATTTAAGTAACTCTGTTGATCAACAATTATTCTATTTTATAATCAAATATAAATAATCATCCATAGATAATAAAAATCATCTTGTATATGATACTACTACATTGGATATCATCGTTAAATTATTGAACAGCATATGTTGTTATTCATTATTTTTTGTTTTTCATCATTCTCACTATTATTATTTATTTAATAATGAATAAAAAACACAAAAATATCTAATAGATAAATATGATATTTTCTCAAAAAAAGATTATACAATTTTTACAGGAACAAAATATACTTTGATTTTACTCGATACTTCGGTAAACATACGTAAACGTTTTTTTTTTATAGATTTAGTAAATAGATTACTATTAGTTTTTAAGTAATAGAAAGTGTTTAATATTTTACACATTCTTTAACTTCAATTGTATATCTTTGAAAATATCTCGATATGTTCATTTTTGTTAATCTTATTCGAAGCTGTCCAATGAAATTTAGTTTTTACACTATTTTAGTATTTAATAGGTCATCGTAGAGATGCATCAATACCTGGAACAAACTGTCAAAGATGACAGTTTTTCTCTGTTAAGAATGTAGCTCTTGGTAGATTGTTTATATCACCCATGATTAATTTGTCTTGCTTGATCCGAAACTGTAGTCAAAATGCATGAAATACAAAACAAAAGTTTCGGAATCGGTCGTAAAAAAAACTAAAGAATTGCAAATTTTTGACTCATACCAATTCCGTTGTTTTGTATTTCATGCATTTCGACAACAGCTTCAGATAGAGCAAGAAAAACTTATCATGGCTCTTATAAACAATCCACAAAAAACTACATTCTTAATATAGAAAAAATATCATTTTTGATATCATGTTCTAGTAATTGGTACATCTGTAGATCATCCAAAGAATTCACACAGACTAACGAAAGTAAATGATGATGTTTTAAAGAAAATGAAATCACAACATTGCATAATTTATCAGCTAAAGAATCGTTTACTTGATATTATCATCTTGCTTCTTAACGTATGCCATCAAAACTATGCATTTAATGATGACAAGACGCCCTCAAAAAAAAAACTTATCTCAATCACTTTTATATATCAGAAATCGTAAAGAAATAGGACAAAAAAAACATTAATTGATTGATGTTTTCACCTCTGAATTCGACTGTAGGATCAACAATAATCGTCTCCTTTTTCTGTTTTTTAATCATTTACGAACGAATTAAAATGACCGTCATTCAACCTACAATGTATGAGTATCCGAACAGATATTGAAGCCTGTTATATTCGAATGGAAAATGTTAGAAGTCTAACTTTTTCACTCACAGTTAATTACAACAAAGTATGTACGTTGAACTACATATTCAGAATAAAATTTAGGATGTGGTTTGAGGCATTAAATTTTACAGTTTTTAAAATTACTAAAAATGCATTGTTATCAACGTAAATATTTGCGCGCTTTTTCTTGTTTTAATTTGGATTATATATTGGCTAAAAAAGAAGGCTGTGAAATCGAGGTTTTCTGAAATTTGATTTTTCTATTTTTCTACGTATTCATAGTAGTCAACAATCAGTGTTAAAAGTAAAGCAAGTAGGTTTCACGATTTTCGACGAAAGTCTTAAATACTTGTAAGATCACAAACTTTTAAAGATGTTCAAAATATGCAGTTTTTGAAGCCCTACAAGAATATGTATGAAACATTAGAAAAATATATTGTATTGAGCTCATAAATAGTGGAACAAAAATGACGTACCAAATAACACTTAACGACAATTTCGACATAATTAAATACTTCAATAAATCGAAGTGATTGCATCCATCTCACTTGAACTTTTTTTTCCTTATAACAAGTAAAATAGGTACTCAAAATTTATATTCCATTTGATAGCATTAAAATAAACACATAGTCAAGATATGAAAGATTTCCTTATTTTTCCTTTTGTAACAAAGTATTTTTAATAGTTTTAAAAGCATTAAAATTTAATGTCTTAAACTACGTCGTACATTTTATTTTGCATACCCATTTCAATGTACCTAAATTACTATATTTGTGAGTGAACAACTTAAGCTTCTAGCATTTTCCTCTCGAGAATAAGAGGCCTCGACATTTATTGGAATACTTATAAATCGTAGATTATGCATTTTATTTACATAATTTTCTGTACTATGAAAGAAACCATCGAAAACTTTTTCTCTTATATAATATAAAAGAATCATGACCAGAATAGTAATCTTTATATGTTCACTTCAATTACATTCTATAGTCTGGAAAAAAGTGCATAGATTATTTTGATTTAAATAATAATTTCTATTTCTATTTCCAATGTCATATGTCATAATGATAATTCCAATTGAAAAAAAAAAATTTATTTTTATCTTCTGATTGTCTTTATGATTAAAATGATATGCTAAGCAAATGAGAATGAAATGTTTTTCTTTTTTTTTTTAGTATGTCGATCACAGTTAAAAGGTTTTTATATGTTTGTTGTTTTATATTAGACTTAATCCTGCTCAGAGTATAATATGATGCTTTATATTTATTGTGATTTTCTTGATCTTTTAGAAAAATAATACGTCTGATTGTGTTCGGAAAGCTTCGCTTTTCCTTTGTGTGCAATCATATATAGTGATGATGAAGGACAAAAAAATATTAATATTAGAATTGAGCGCGGATAAGTGCAAATAATTTTATATTTATGATTTATCAATGTCATTGTTCATGAGAAAAAATCTCTCCATGTTGTTGAGAATGTGCTTGCTTTATTCACACTTTCGAACTCAATTTTGCGCTACACTTGTATTTATTTAAAGAAAAAAAGAAAATCATCGAAGAAAACTTCGGAAAGAGAATCGATGCATAAAGGAAAAGAACATAAAAGCGTAATAGAGAGAAAGAGAGAAAAATAGTAAACGGAAAGAAAATGTCTGTTAAAAAATAGTATTAGCTAATAATTTGTGCCTCTTACATTTCCATCTCTTTTTTTCTTTTTCATTAATTGTTTTAGGTTTTTTTTTTTTTCTTGTTGAATACCTCGAGAGACATAATACATTTCAAACTATGTGCCTATTTTATTGTTCATATAAATATGTTCTGTAATATTATTATCGTATACATGTTCATTACAAATTATCGTTAGGTTTTTTTATATAGATATTGTGTTCATTGGGTCTACATTCTTTGTTGCAACTTGTATATAGCTCTAAAACTCGAAAAAGACACGCAACCATCATTATTCATCATTTCCCAAGAGATTTATTGCTCGTAAGAAGAAACTATCGAGGACAAACTATAGCGGTTTCATTGTCATCAACAATACAAACGACATGAGAAGTGTTTAAAAAAGTGTATAATATTTCACCAGTTTAGCTTACAGAAATTAGGTAAAAAGAGAGATTATAAATTCGAATAAGAAAAAATAGTATTGAAGTTAAATACAGAAAAAAAGACATGTTTTCTGGTAAAACAGACAGAGAATTTCTGAATCTTCTTTTTTTTTTCTTCTTTCATTATAAGACTCATATTCAGGAAATTTATTCGTACACAATATTACTGTCTATGAACTAAAAACAATTTATTGATATCTTTTTTATTACTATTAATGTTTTAGATCATGTCGTCAATCAATAATACTATTATAAATACATATCGTAATAATAATACATTGGATTCAACAAGTTGGCTTCTACAATTATCACTTTGGCCATTACGTATTGTTTGTCCATTATTAATTATTTTTTGTCCTATTGCAAATTGGATATGTATACATATATTTCAATCACGTATATATAATCGATCATCATCAAAATGGTATTTTATATTTATTGCTATATTTGATACAATTTATGTACTTGTTACAGCACCACTCATATTTTTAATAACATTAGAAATTTATATTCTAAATTGGAATATATTATTATGTAAATTTATAGTATTTCTTAATTATTTATCATGCCAAATATCGGCTGGTTTATTAGCATGTTTATCAATCGATCGCCTTGTAGCTACATCATGTTTATTATTATATCGTTATCATTGTACAACAAATATATCAAAATATGTTTGTTCATTTGTTATATTAATATTATCAATAATTAATTCACATTATCTAATTGGTTATACTATTGATTTAGATGGTTATTGTAGTATAAGATATTATAAATGGTATGAAAATATTTATTCATATTTAAATATTGTTTATCTTTTATCATATTCTATAATGCCATTTACAATAATATCAATATGTAATTTATTCATTGTTATAAATGTTTGTCGAAATAAATCACATATGAAAAAAAAAAATTTATTAAAAAAATCAATTTTAACAACAAGTAATCAAAATGGAGAAGGAATAATAAATGCACCACATTGTTGTTTTTCAACAACATTTGATAAAAATGAAGTTCCAATAAATAATAATAATAATAATACATTTCAACTTCAACGATATTCAAATGAAAGTAAACATGATATGTTTGTACCAGTACATGAAAATCAAATAATAAATAAAACAATTGATTCAATTTGTAAGTTTTTCTATTTCAAACCATCAAGAAGATTTCTTAAAGATTGGATTTTTTAGCTGAATGGCAACTGCAACGACAAAATCGTTTGTCAGAAAAATTATTATTAGATGTTGAACAACCTATCAATCCAATTCAACCATCATCAATACAAAATAATTCTTTAAGTTCTCCTCGTGACCGTTTATTATCAAGTCAACAATTATCTTCATCATCAACATATTCCCAAAAAATGTGTGTACAATTACAGATAACAATAAGTTTAATAGCTATATCGATTAGTTTTATATTTTGTACATTACCAAATTGTATATCAACAATAATGATTCAAACTCATAATCAAAATGAACAAGTAAGAAAATTTTGGCAAGCTATGAATTATTTATCAATTGTACCATTACTTATAACACATTCAGCTAATTTAATTTTCTATTATTCATCTTCGCGTATGTTTCGAAATCATTTTAAAGACATTTATATAAGAAGATCAACTTCAATGAAACTTTCTTAAAAATCTTGATTATGTAATTTATTTTATAAAAATTTTTATGTATATTCTTTTGCTCATTTAAAACAAAACAACTATTCATTAATGTACTCTTCTTGGAGTTTTATTTTTCAAGTTCGTACAATTTAGTCAATTTGCCTATAATAAAAAAAAAAAGAAGTATTAAAAAATTCTGCTTTTATTAAATGTATTCAATGCCACTGGTGACGTTTATATTTTATGTATTATCCCAAATATCAAATTTCGTAAAGTATGTTCATGACGAACAATGTTTTATTTAAGAATGCTTGAAGCTTAGATAATTTCTAATATTCTTTTTTAACATGAACTTAATTAGAGATTTTGTCAGGTTCTTCGTCATTTTATTTTGCATAGAAAATATCCTCAATTCTTTTAAGAAACTAGGTTAATGTGAACTAGCCTTGGGTTAGAAAAATTCCTTTAAAATTATTAAACAAAAAGAACTTGTTTTTATATTAGTCAAATAATGTTGGCATACTATGCCTTTAGATTCTCAGGATACATATGGTGTGATAAAAAAGATATAAACTGTCATATATATTGTAATAGATGTGACACTGTTGTAACTATCATGTGTGCTTATCCTCTTTTCTATTGAGGATTGAACGACTCAGGATTTGTACTTCGATTATGAATTGTGTGTTATAAAACCTGAAAAGAGTCTAGAACTATCTACAAATAAAGCATTAAAAAAAATGAGCAAAAACTTCTTCATACAGATTATAGAACTTTTTATTCTTTTTTTGTTTAAATGTGCTTGTACGATTGTAAATCATCATCGTCTTTTACTTAACTAAATAATTAAAATGAAGTGCACTCATACAGAAAAACTGAAACTCATGAGAGCATGAAAAATAATTTAACGTTTGACATCATTTTTTCATTTTCATTCAATTCAATATCTTCTATATATGTACTACATAGAATGCATAGACAAGTTAAAAGACATGAAATAATTTTGAATAAGTTTTGTTGCTTTTTTTTATATTCACTTATTTCAAATACATTTAGATATAAGCTAACAATAATGCTAGTTAGGTCTTTGATGAATACAAACGTAAAAAAAACCTACGCGTCATATATGTGATCCTGAGAAAAAGAAAATGATTATCGTCAAATGATACATTTTACCAAATGCAAATTCTATCCCTAGGATAGATAAGATGTCACACGAATGTGCATTTTTGCACTATAGGTCTGAAATTAAGCAAAAATATTATTTTTTACTGAGAATGTGAAAAAAAACAATATTTTAGTACAATTCATACTCTATTAATGATGTTTTGAGACGAAAAAATAATAATGAGAAATATTTTTGTATGAATATAACAAGATAATTTATGATTACTGAATGTCCTCTAATGAATTAATTAAAGAAACAAAAGACTCATTTGTTTGTTTAATTTTTAATCTTTTTCGTCTGTATTTGATAACATGTAAAAACTAAAACTTCTTTTTTTTCTTTACATTAACTTTATTGCAATTGACATTAAAAATAAACTATTTTTACGCCATTCCATAGTGTGACAGGTGCATACCATTTTCAAAACTCATTACATTTATATAATATATATATAATTTTCAGAAAATGAAAGTAATGATACATAAATACCAAAAAAAATTGTTCGACTTAATTTTTTCCATGCATAAAATAAGTCATATTGACATCAAAAGTTGGATAAGAAAGTTATTTGTAATTAAAATAGTTTCAATATGATGAATTTACTGAAGTTTAAAATGAGAACAATAAGTCTAAGCACATATCGATGGGACTATCAAGCATAACAATTGAACAATATTATAGTTACTAGAGATCTTAATGAGTTGGCCTGGACCGAAGAAAGTCAGCTCAGTCTATTGGCTTTTTTTCTTACAAAAATGATTGACTCATGTAATTGCATCGAATAAGTTTTTAACACATGAATGAGAAAACATATTTCGAATATCTATAATTGATGTATCAATAAATGTAACATAACGTATTTAACAACTTGTAAAACTTGAATTTCTCTCGAATTTCTCTGTATTTTCTAATTGTTTTTAGTTGGAAACGAAAAAAATTTCCAACATAAAGATGTATTTCGCTTTTTCATTTATAATCACAGCATATATCAATAGTAATTGTTCCAAAAGAAATTTGATCCATTCGGATATATACTGTTTTGTATGTGATGGGGAACCCACATCAATGATGGAAGAAAAAGTGTTAGCACAAAAGTTGATGAGTAAAAAGGTTCAATAGGAGTAGAATGAGAAAAAGCAATTGTTGATGAACGAGAAGAGCTAGACAAGGACATTTTTATTGAATATAAAGACTCAATGAAGGAAATTACATGAGATTCTCGAAGAACATACGCAACATCTTTTGAAAATTTTATATTCTATTTCAAGATTCAGCTTATGAGTATCCATTGCAATATTAAATTAATCTAATCTAGCCTACTGAGACATCTGATAGTCACATCAAAGAATTTTTTGTAAGTCATAAGATAATTAAATAAGTTTGTTGTGAAAAACAACATGTTAATTTCATTTTGAAAATGTTTATATTAGAAACAATTTTATGCTTCAATAAATTTTCATCTATTCATGGTTTATGAATAATAAACATATCATTTACTGTTAACTTATTTTTGTTCTTGTTATAAAAATAGGCCACTTCTCAAGGACCAATTCTTTATAATTGTATGCATAGCTTTTGTATTTATTCTTCGTTTGTCGCTGTTTTCTAGTTTGAATAAATGATTTATCTTAAAACTATTCTTTACTAAATACAAATAGAAAATACATTCAAACAAAGACTTAGATTTGACTAATCTATTTTCCAACAATATAATAAAATATTCGAATGACTGACGAGAAAAAATTAAAAGAAATTGATATACATCTGATGAAATTTGATCTTTATTTTTTCGTCTTAATTTCTATTAAAAAGAATTTTGTACCAAGACTTTATATACAAAGATTATACTCTTATTCAATGTAGAATTTATTTCAATATGAATCAATTCATCTTTATTTATTGTTAAGGAAATAAATAAATAACAAATTTAATAATTATTAAGATAACTATGAAAAAATGCTGATGGGTTCAATGGGTTCAAATTCAATATTTATCATTGAAACTTTTGTATTTACACTCAACTGAATACAAGAGAATAATTTCTGCATGACTTCAATATATTTCTTTCTTTTAGAAAATTGAATTTGAGTTTATTTTTGTATGTCATTAACTGTTGCATTATTAGTGCATGACATAAGTAAATAAATTCATCAATCTATGATAAATGGGAACGGAATTTTTTTTTAAAAGCTCATATCCGATTCATGCTGATTGACTTCGTACTGATAATCATGCTCAAGGTTTCATTAACTGTTGATAACAATACTTTATGTTAAATCTTTCTATTTTATTCTATTTCCGATTGTAATCGATGTTTTATTTTATCTATTCAAGTATCAAAAAATTACTACTGACAGGAAGAGAATAAAGAACTTTTTTCTTTTGGTAAACTACTATTTCCGATACAATAACTTAGAATGATTTTGATTATCGGAAATGAAAACTTCTCGATTTACAATAGAGAATTATAATAAGTTGTTTAGTTACATTATATTACACAAAAAAACATGAATAAATACTATTTCGGAAACAGTTCGATATATTTACCGATGTGATCGCAATCACACAAAAAGCGATGATTTTATGGCAATTTGTTAGGACGAGTAATTGTAAAATTATATTGCGATTCAATCACTTAAAACAAAACGATTTTTTCCGATTTTTATAGAAAATTGCCATTTCCTATGGGACATTTACGAGGATCAAACCTAGCCGTAATGCTCTATTCTAGAACTATAAATGTGTTTCGATGGATATATGATCGCTCTTGTCATCATACTCATAAAAGCTTCTCATGAATGAGGAAAGAGATGGCTATGTACTCCCTAGGTGGCATAAATAATAAAAAATGATAGTTATTCTTTTTCTTTTATACAGTAATATCTACTGTTCATTTTGATCTTGCGATCAATCTAAGTAAAAAAAAAAAACAAATTGTTTTTCTAAATAAAGACGTACTGTTCGTTGTGTTATTAAGATTAATCTAAATAAAAGAAACAAAAATAATTTTCGTAAATATCTAGGGTGAAGAATCCTAACCTAGTCGAACATCTTGTAAGCAAGATCTTGAAATCTTCGTACATGTAAAACTCTAATAATCGTTACGACTATTCAACTACTCGAATATTCACGACTTAACGACTATTAAACTATTGGAACACAGACTAGATTGAAGCGACTAAAACCACACACATACATGCTGTGGGTGCCATGGAATACAGACCAGGTCGTAATCACAAAAATCCTACAGACATGCTCTGGGTCTCATGAAACAGAAACAGTTGTAAAGTCGTAAAATCGTTAATAGTTGAATAGTTGATTAGTTAAAAGTCATTACGACTCAACGATTTCTACATTACTGGAAATCTTAGGATCGGTAAGCAACATCTTATCAAGATTTTTAAAAGATAATTCACTTGTGTATATTTTGATTGTATCAGATGTATCTGTAACTAAGATCTTTGCAAGATCTGTTCAAAGATTCTCACATGTGAAGATCATGGAAAAGATATCAGTTGTTATTATCTTGTCCCAAAATTTTGAGGAAAACAAAAAGCGGCATCATTAATTTATTTACATATTTTAAAATTCTTTAATTGGTTGAAACTACATTCCAACACTCAATCATATAAACTTATAAATATTATAGATGTATAAGAAATTTTGTACCAGTGAGGGCACTTGCACATCAATAAAATTAAATTGTATGAAGAACAAAGAGGGAGAAAAAGACAATTCAATAGAAAATTTATTAAGTATCAATAATGGTTTTTAGATTAATCTAGTGTGCAGTTATCAAGGACTCGTATTTTATAAGAAAATAGTTGATGTCTGATTACGATACAAGATGGTTTAGAATTCGAATTTTTTGAAGTCAATTTTTTTTTTTGAAAAATGATAAAATAAAAGACATTTTAGGTTTTAGTACTAATCAATTCTTTGATTTAGATAAATCCTTTGACTTGTTTCTTCCTATAGTGATTTTTCTAAGACATTATTGAAATCAACAACTGGTTAAGTTATTTTTATTTCTAGATTTTCGTATATAATTGTTTTAATTATTAAATAAAGATGCCTTGTATACATAAACATCGATTTAATGTCATCATTATCATTCGATAGTTTTTCAAATAAAGATGAATTAATAACATCTCACAATTCGTAACAACGATTAGAAACACGACAAAACAACAGTATGAAAAATATGAAACCTGAATATTAATGAGAGTAAAGGATAACAGTATTTCACGCTGTAGTTTTTCTTTATTTGAATTTGCATAAATAGATATATTTTTGAACTCATAAAAATTGCTCATATCAACTAGAAAATTTTCGGCATTCTTTTAGTTCTTGTCTTTTGTTGTATTTTTAATGGAAGATTAACTAGTACTAAATGTTTAGATAGGTATTTTTCATTAAGTATTAATTGAGCAGCAAAACGTTAACTGAAGATCTTGCAACTCTTGATTATTAGTATGAAAGATATAATTTCCTGGAACAAAAATCAGTAAAAACGGTTACAATAGATCAAATATCGAATTAAAGATATTGAATATCTGTACGCAAGATCTAATTACAGATCTTGGTATAAGATAGCTATATTATCTTGTATCTAAATTTTCAAGATTTGTTCACTTTTCTGTACCTTATATCTTGGTTAAGATCTTGCTTACAAGATGTTCGACTAGGATAACGTTGGATCTCGTTAGATCTGATGTAGTATCCCAGACAATCCGATAACCTCCGATAAGATCCTGTTAGAATTCTTAGCACAGAATTCTGAAGAGATCATGTTGAATTAACATCTAGACATCAGATATAGTGTGATCCACCTCGTTATCACCGCCTTTTCCGTACTTCCTTCCTCTCGTACAATTAGCTGAAAACTAATAGCTTAAATATACCTTACTTTAATTTATTATTACATTTAATTGTTGAAGAAAAAATTTAAAATGAAGAAAAAAATATATAACCAATAATTTATACTTATTTTTAATTGACTTCATGACGCAATATAATTTGAATGAAAAAATAAAATAAATAATTCATAGTTACTGTTAGTTGAATTGTATAGCATCCATTCTCACCATAAACAGTTCTTTAGGAATGTAAATGTTTGACCTAGATTAGTGGAAAACGGCTTGGCGTCGTCCTAAGAATTATAACAAATACATTTCACATGTTGTCTACTAATCATAAACAGCAAAATTAGATATTTTAACAACATCAGCTTTTTTTTTGGATTTGACAAGTTCTCACTGTCGGATAGATGAGTGAACCTATCGAATCCGACTGAGCGATTTTGATTTGGATAAACATTCATTATTGAAGTTAGTTCCAAAATCGCATCTTTGCAAACAATCACTGATTAATCGTTAAATACTGAGCCGATTTTGACGATATGGATGGGCTCAATCAAAAGTTCGACTAACATGAAATGAAAGTATAAAAATAAAGAGATATTTTTAATTTCATTTTATTAAATATTGAAAATAATTGCTATAGTCATTTATACAAAACTTCATCCTTTCTAACAATTTGTCAAATGCTTTTTTGAATTTTTCTTCTGAAATATTTTTAACTATCTTGAAAATTGCACGAGTCAATGATCTTTCATTTACATGATCAATTAAATTATGCTTGATATAATCATATATGACCAAAAATCACATTTAGCAAAGTTTGGTGAAAACAGTAGATACGACAAAATATTGATATCTTCTTGTGTTAAATAATTAATAAAATCTGGATGAATATAAGGTCAAGGATTATCACGAAGTAGTTTTATACCTTTTACACCTGATGATCTTCTTTTGTTTCCATGTTTTCTTAACAACAGACTTCAGACAATTACCAATATAATCGTTGTAATCTGTTTTCTTGTCTTTATCTACACTAGGTATCACAACAGGAGCATTTTGATTTAAAGAATTTAGAAAATAATATTTTTTTTTGGTTCAAATCTACTTCCGTAAACAATAGTCATTGGTGGTTCATCATCACTAATCCAGCTTGCGTGAGTTGTCTTACATTCCACCTGTCTTTGATGAATTCATGTCTCATCACCTGTAAAAAATATTACATAATTGTCATGATCCAACACGAAAATTCGACAAAATTTTAACGCGTTCTTGCTTTTGTTCATCATTGAGTCGATGAGGTACCCAATATGATATAACTTTTATCCTCTTTAGATAATTGCGAATAATTTGTTCTATGATGCCATGAGAGAGAGAGGGGGAGAGAGAGATGTCTTGGCTATAATATAATCGCAAGTTAAATGTGGATCATTGTTGATAACTTATTATACCAGTTCAACACTTACATGTATTAGCTCGGACACCGGGACGATCAAATCAAGAATCATCATCATTAACATCCTCTCTTCTTTTATGAAGACGTTTTGTCCACTTTACAACTGTTCGATATGATGGAATGTTAGGCCTAATTGCTATTTTAAACTCCTTCCCAAGTTGAAGAATGCGAAATCTGCATACACTCGGAAACGACCGTATTTCGGTGTATTACATGACTTAGTATTATGACCTTATTTTTCCGTATCACATATGCAGAAATACGATTGTAATACTGAGCTAATATACGACGATTTATGGTCATTTACGAGTATACTTGTTCGACCTGAGTCGTGAATTGTCTTTGCATCTGTTTCCAAAATATCTCGTAATATAGTATCGATTGAATTCATTATCTTTTTATCAATTTTTTTTAAATAGGAACTAGGTTATATCTGAGAGAATATTAGAAGTAAACCCAAAAAAAGAGTGATTATATATAGTATTATAGACAAGACATTCTAGTATTTATTCATGCAAGAAATTCTTTAGTGTTAAGTAGTCTATATAATTACTAGCAATATTATCATAACTGTTGGTCGAATCTAAGTAAATAGAAAATAAATTATTTTATCAATGAACCTATATGAAAAGTATATTGCACTCTTCAGCATATGATTATCAATATTTTTCTCTCTACAACATATTTTGATAGCTATTACTGTAATAGTTGTTGCTTTTTTCACATTTCAGAAAATGTATTATAAGAGTTTCATGTTTCTTGTTTAAAAATTCTTATCAAACAGAAGAATACAAAAAAATATATAAACTAACAGTAAAGAAAATAGAATGGGAAACTGAATATAACTCGATTCGAAGAAAAAACACACAATATAAAATAAACTTAATTCAATGCATTTGATTGAATAGAAAAAGATCTATCAAGAAATGAATGAGTCAAATATCTAATGTACAATATGTGTGTGAGTAAATAATAAAAATAATACATATAAAATTATCATATTTAGTCGAATAAATCGTAAAAAAAAACAAAGTAAACACACACATATCACCGGTTCGAGATTGTTAAGTTTTATAACAAAAAATAAAAAAATATTTTTATTTATTTTAGTTTTGAGGTTTTTTGTTGCTGTTGTTGTTGATTATCATCTTGTTTCAACATACGTATTTGAGTTTTATATGATTGTGAAAGTCCTTTTTGCCAAAATCGAATAAGTAATAAATCATTTGGATTATTAACATTTAATATATTCATTTGTTGACGTTCACTCAATGATAATGTTGATGCTATTTGACAACGACCCAGTTGAAAATAAAGTTTTGCTTTACTAGAAGAAAAAAAAAACAATAATTTCAACATGATTTGTTTCCTAATAAAACTTCTTTTCAAGATAACATTGTTGTAAGCTAGTCTTTCTGATAAAAATATATAATTTACAATATGTTCAAAATTTAATTTCAAAATTCTTATTACTTGAACGCAAGATTGTTGAGCATTACTTAGTTATAGACAAGATAGAGTTTAAAATAAGAAAGATAAATAAGTAACAAAGAAGATGATTACATCGATGGATATTACTAACATCCCATGCAGGAGAAACGGCAGGCTTCAGAGTCGCAAAAGTTTTCATTAGACTTTGCAGAACTTTAAATAACTTTGAGAATTCATGAGTATTTAATAAATTTTAAAAGTCGTATGAATAAAAAATCTAAATTTATACATAGGCAAATGGCTTGTTCTGAGTCTATGGCAATTGGTCGTAATGTTGAAAAATAAAATCGGGAAAAAATTTTCTCAGCATGGAAAAATAACTCAGGGACGTCGAGAAAATAACTAACAATCTATTCAAGGATGAGAAACATTAGATATGAGTATAAATATGAATGTTTAATGAACTCTTCTAATTTAGCATGAAGTCTTGAAAGAGAATAAGTAATAGTTGCTTTAAAGATTGCCCATAATCATCTATATTTTTTTCTTGTTTTTGAACTTCCATCTGTCATGGTTTCCGCTATTCTATAAGAATTTAACTTTCAACCTTTCGTAACATTTCAATAAACTCAACATTCAATTACCATTGACCAGCCAGATCATCTACGAATCCATTCCATGAGGAAATCTTTATTTTTCATATGCCATTCTTATATTCGTGCGGTGCTGTACATGATTGAATTACATGTGAGATCATAGAGATCGGCTATCTACAGAACTTTCTGAGATCTACCTTGACATCCTATTTTTAAAATATCTTAAATAGTATTTCAAAGGTTTCAGAAGACTTTAGGATTGAGATCTCCACTGTTTTCCCTCCTCGAGCATTATGTTATCGGAAAAACGAATATTCTCTTTTCAAAATTCGTGTACGAATATTAAAACAGAAAATTTACCGAAGAGAGAGAGATAGTAATCACGTTTCGCTTCTTGAAGAAGTTTCGAATTTTGTTTAAAGAGTACGTTAGCCGAATGGCAATCTAGAATTGATCACAATGCTGAAAACTATAGTTACTAACAATCATTCGAAGACAAGAAATACTAGATGTGATTATAAATACGAATTTTTTAATAAGCCCTTGTAATTGCGCGAATGTCAGTGATCATTCATTCAGAAGTTTATTACAATCCAGATAATTTTTCTTTGTTTTACAACTTTTGCCTATTGTGATTTTTGCTATTTCATGATACATATAGCGTTTCGTAAAGTTTCAATAAATCGAAATTCTTAATGACGATAATTAGTTATCGGTGACATCACCTATTTATTCGTTCCATAGGACACGTCTTCATTTTTCATATATTATCCTCGTCTTCATGCTGTGCTGTATGTGATTAAATCATATGTTTACAAATTTAGGCATCTAATACATGAAGAAAAATCACACTTGCGCCTAGCATGCAACAAATTTTACTAGTCGTGGAATGGAGTGATCATGATTAAAAAATGTGTTTCGAAAAAAAAAGAGGTGCAATCATTTTCTCAAAATCCGCTACTGAATTCTACAATGTGATTAATATTTGTTTTTATATTTTTATTTTGTAAAAACGAACTGATATTATCTTGTAAAGGAAATATGTTTTAATATCGCATGACTTACTTCAAATATTTAATCTTATGTTGTGTAATAATAGCTTCAAATGCTTCATCATCTAAACTATTATCATTTAATGCTTCAATAATCATTTTGACATAAGTTGATACTAAATAAAAATCAAAAAGCAAGAATTTTCTTTTGTTTTCTTCTCGAAATAAAATCTAACTAACCAATAATCTTCGATTTTAATAATGGTAATGTTTCTAATTTAGCTTCTCGAATATGATCATCAATACTATCAACAATAATTGTAATAATAATTGAATTAGTATCATGATTAATTTCTATTTCATTTGTTGTTATTAAATCTGTATCAAATAAAACGAGATTAGCTGTACATGATGCAATTGGATTTGTTGTTTCAATTAAATGACAACAACCATCAGGTAAAAATAACTATGAAAAAAAAAATAAAAAAAAAAAGAATTTTCAATTGTATCTTTTACTTTTTATTTTTATCTTACTCGAAAAACACTTGCAAAAGCTCGAATGAATTCTTTATTATCAAGTCTATTAGTATATTTAATAATTAATTGATTTCCAATTATCCAATTATAAAGAATATGTTGTAAATGTTTGATATCATTTAATTTTATAATAAATTCTTTAAATAATTGTAATGCTTTATTACCATATGATGAAAATTGATATTCTAATGAATCATAATCATCATCATCAAAATCATTTTCATTTTGATAGTCACTATCAATAGATGCATAAATTGATGTAGAAAAATAATTTTGTTTATTAGTTGTTAATATTGATGGTAATATTTCAACTATAGCTCTTGTTCGATGTTTTGTTAAATGTTCATTTTCACAGATGTCTAATAATAAAATAAAATGAAAAAAATTTCGTTTTTTTTTGAATTTTCAAAAATTTAATTTACCTTTTCGTTCTTGTTTTGTCGTTTGTTCTTCTGTTGGTAAAGCATCAAAAAGTGATTCATTAATTGCTGAATGACTTGTTCGAAGTATCCAAACAAATAAAGCATGAATACGATATATTAATTTCGAATCATGCACAATATCACTAAGCATACGTTGTGATGGTGTATGAGGTGGAGGACGAAATATATACGTTGGTATTGTTTCATTTAAATTTGTATTTACTTTAATACGTCCTTCTTCTTCATAAGTTTCATCAGCATCATGTTGTAACCAATATATAACTTGTCTCATACATTCACTAATAAATCTCATAAGAGATATTAAATGATATTTATCGTTACATAAGTAACATAATGAATATAGACGTTGACTTCCACGTGCATGAAAATCTTTACAAGAAAATACTAATGATAAACAAAAACCATTTTCATCATCACCGAATAAAACTGGCTGACCATTTTCAGTAGATTTCTATTTAAAAAAAGAAGAGATTCTTTTTTTTTTGTTATACGAAGATATAGAAGTTAAGCTTTAATCCAGTAACTCTTTGTAAATTTTCTTTTACATAAGTTGAATGAAATTCCAACATTTTCATTTATCAAAAAAATAAACAACAATATTCATTGTAAATTCAATACAAAAGCAATAGAAAGAAGATTACTATTATTAAAAAAATATCTTTTAAGATTTCTTTTATGATTTTAATTTCTATAAAAAAAAATCTTTAGAATGTTATTTTTTTCAATAAAACTCACTTCAATATTTAAACTTCTTACACAAGCATTACGAATATTTTTAAATAATTCTTGATTAGGTGTTGATGATGATGATATATATAGCATATGAGTTGATAAATCAACTGTTGAAACGAGTGTACCATCAGATGATAATGTACATGACTATAGAAAAGTTTAGTTTTTCAAAAAAAAAAAAGTATAATTTTCTTACCTTGCATTCAACTTTCCCTTGTGGATGTTCTGATTTAATATATTGAGAATAAAATGCTTTTAAACCTTCATTATCATTATCATTTAAATCATGTATATAAGTTCTTTCTTCTGTACACAACAATATTTGTGGTCCATGTATATCACAAAAATGTTGTAATGCACAAGACGCACTCATGAAAACATTTAAATAGATAAAACTTTGTATTATATGAAGATAGAAAATAACATTAATCTCAAAAATAAAAAAACAAAATCATTGTAATATCATTTGATCTTTAACATGTCTTACTAATAATGTAGAATTAAATTGAAATAAATTATTATAAAAGTAAAATTATCATAAGATAATTAATGTAGTATGTAATAGAAACAGGAAACAACTAAAATATTGAGAAAAGATTGTTTTGCAAATTTTCTTAAGCTTGTTAACGATTCCGAAGAAAATCGATAGAGATGAACGTAATATCATACATATTGACTGTTTATTTTCTGTTCTGAAATATTAATAATGTTCGCATTAAATATTGCTTTGATTATATTCATGATGTTTAATAAAACAGAAAAGTATTTTATCTTCTCTAATTATATAAGAAAAATAGATTTGATGATTCATATTAGATCTCGTCTATTATCATGCAAGCAACCATTAGTTATTAAATGATTAAACGAAAGAATCGTTCGAAGTGATTCATCATTTGAGAACTCATATACTGAGCATACTTAATATGGTAAGATCTATTTTTAGACAAAATTTCGAGTAAGAAACTTTTCGTTCACTGTTTTCGATAATACTATTCTATGATCAAAATCCAACAAAATTCTGGTAACTCTATAGACAAAGCTTACGAGTCTATCTAAGTTCTTGTGAAACACGATCTAAAAGTAGTGTTGAAATGTAGGGGGTAAAAATGTGGACCCTCCGCAGGCCATGACAGACGTTGTTGATATACGATCAATTACGGTATATCAATAGCATCTCGTTCTGCAATATGAATTACTTCCGTATTGCATTTCTCAAGGATTAAGTAAAAAGATAATGAAGAAATGTGTACTCATATAGATAGAATAAAGCAATATCCTGTGATTACCAGGAGCAGCTGCATCGTATTTCAAAATATAATCCATTAGGGATTGCGCTAACAGCTTTTTCAAGGTTATTCTAGTCTGGATATTTTCTCCATGTAACCAAAACAAAAAAAGAACTCAAAAATTATATGAGTTGTTTTCTTACTAGATTATTAGCCAAATTTTTGTTCTATTCAAAAATTGAAAAATATATATATATATATGCTAATGGTTCAGGCATATATTATTTCATACACTTGAGCCATTGTTCTTCATAACCAAAAGACAATAGTTATTCAATCATTAACGTGTAAAGAACATAGAAAGATAACTTAGATGATACAATAAGCTTTTATTTTTCTTCGATGTTTTCATAAGTAGTAATAGTTCTAAGAACGACTTTGGAAACTAATTAGAGATAACTTAATGTACATAAAAGGAATGTGTTAATAGATTTTATTATTATTATCTGAAAGAAAAAAAAAAATTAATAACAAAAAAAAGCTAAAATAAGCAACTATGTAATTTCATTTTTTCTTTTACTAATTTTCATTTATTGAACTGAGATAAAATATTTTTGTCATTGTTTTCTCTTAATTTAATTGAATGACTAATTGTTTGCAATTGAAGACAATAACGAATAATGAGTGAAAATTTTCGATCTGTTATTAATTCATCATAATATTAAATTAATGTAAATATAGAACAATTTTTTTCACAAGTAACTTTTCATATATGATTTTTAACCTTTATAAGAACTGAATCATCTAGTGTTGCAATTAGATGAATCTTGATTAAAAATCATGTATTATGAGTACTCAGTGATATTTTGTTCTTCCTTTGAAAAACTATTAAAATTTAATTCTTGATTTAATCAATTCATATTCATGTTTTTCATTTGTTATTATTGGTAAACGAAAAATATTCTTTATAACCATTAAATAAATCGAATTATTTTTATTTAATAAATACGTTTGATATTATTACAGTTAATATTATTTGTCTATTTGCATTCATCTTTTTCCACGTCTTAATCGTTACGATACTTCTTATATTAATTGAATATTCTATATTAAATAATGACACTGATGCTGTTTCAAGCTAAATAAAGCATTATCACGAAAAAGTATTATGATAGGAAAATTGAAACCAACGGTTGATCTACGGTAAATTAAGCATATTAAACCAGATGATTTGATTTTTTTTTCAATACTATTATTAGAACGATCAAGTGATGATTGCATTTTTTGATTGATATACGACCCATATGTTCCCGTTTTCGGTACAAGGTACTTATTAGTATTCTATACTATTCTACAACTGATTGGTGGGGAGTTTATCCCTATGGACAATACAATCTGATTTAAAATTACATTGCGATTAGCGATGAGATAAAAACGTTTTATAGTGACATCTTTCACAAAAGAAAACCCTAAGTTTTTTATTTAGGAAAAAAAAACTTGAAATTTCTCAATTTTTTATTTAAACTTTTTTTTGAAATTTTATAAAATTTAATTTATATGCATTGGTTACAATTATTTTGTTTACATGATTGACAGTAAACTTTGATAATAAAACGATCGTATTGTCCTTCAATATTTAACAGTTCTTTGACAATGTTCTTTAAAATATCATTGACATTTATTGCATTGATATCTATCGTATTCAGTCAAACAGATGACGAAGAATCATTTTTATTCGTTACAAAGCAAACATTCAATCGGTTTATTGTAGAAAATAAGGAACTGACTATTAAATATGGTTTATACAATTCAGGCCCAACGTAAAATGAAAAACTAAATAAAAAAAATACAAAAAAAAAGGTTTTTTTTTTATAAATATTTTAGAACAGTTTTTAATGTCAATCTAAATGATATGCATAGTTTTCCAGCAGATAAATTTGAACTACTTGTTGGTACACTGAATCCAAAATGGGAACGAATTCATGCGTAAATTTATTTATTTTTCTAAATTATGATATTTTTAAAATAAATGTTATCTATTTTTTTAATATAGAGGAGTAAATTTAACTCATGTTGTTGTTCTTAAACCAAAACAAAGTGGTTTAAGTAATATTACATATGCTATTGTAACATATCAAAAGAGTGAAAAGAATACAGATGTTCAAGTAAGAAATGATTCTTTTAATACTACGTTTTATAGAAGACTAGAACGAATAACTCATAATTATCATAGTAGATAGGACTAATAGTAATAAAAAAGAAAAAATGGAATGGATCTATTTCTTTATGATTTCTTGGATTCATCTTTCAAAAAAATGTATAGAATATTCTAATGATCATTCTCAATTCTATTCAGTCTTTTTTTGACAATAAAATGAATGTTGGCAAGCGAACATATCCAGCGGTCGGGCGCCATTCGACTTCACATTATGCTTATGAGTAGATCTCGATGAGACTAAGAAAAGCTTAAAACGATCCAGACCCATGGCCTATTATTGAAAAGTTACCGCGGTTTCAATGAAATATTTATTGAGAACAAGTTTCAAAAATCAAGAATTTCAAGCTGACGTTAGATCTATAGATATGCCTGATGGTCTTGAAAATTTCAACGAAAATGAACATATCTTTCGGGAGATATTCAATTTCTAAGTGAACTCGGTTGTTGTATCTTCTTCTGGTAAACTGTTGAAGTTTTAGATATTGAACGTTTCAAATAAGACATGTTCAATTTCGTTGAAACTTGCAGAACTATTAAATCTGCCATTAGACAAAATTTGAGTTCGAAAGTTTTTATTTAGGATTTTTCGACAATGCCTTATTCCGAGTAAAAATTTCATTAAAACGGTTATCACTTTTCAACAATAGACAACGGATCAGTACCCTTTTAAACTTTTCTTAGTATCACCAAGACAACACTCGTAGCCATAAAAGTGAAGTCAAACGACGTCCGACAGTTGAATATGTCTTCTCGTAAGATTTCATTGTAAAATTAATAAAAAAAAAAACTAATTCTTTTAATCAGTTAAAATATAACTATGATAGTTGTTTAATATACAAATTTCTATATAAGACCTGTACTATAATTGTAATGTATGTTAAAAGAATAAATGTATTAAATGAATATCGAATTTGTTCGAGTAACTCATCGTGCTGTTTATATCATTTTTTTCTTATTATTTTCATAGAGAACTTATTCATCTGAAATTGGTGATATTTACATAATGACAAGTCGTGAATATGATCGACGATTTTCATCACATATTGTATGAATTATTTTATTTTAATTTTTGTTTGTAATAAATAACGAAACAATTTCTCTTTTGTTTTTGTATTTAGATTGATTGGATACTTTTTACAGCCATGGCAAGTCCATGTATTATTTTTCCATTTTTTCTTTGGTTTAACAGTAAAAACAAATATGAATTATTATTAACTAAAGATAAATTAATAAGAAAAGTGCAATAGCAAAAAAAAAGAAAACAAGACAAATCAAATATATTTGTGTTTAATATTTTTTGTTTCTCGTTTTCTTTGAAATTAATGTTGTTTTATGGTGATTGTTTGTTTAGACTTGTTCTTATTTATATAAGATAAAATTTAAAAGAGAATTGTAATAGAACATTATTGTTTTAGATCATAAAAATGTTAAAACGTTCAGAAAAATTATGGATGGGCAGTGCCCTATTTTTTGGTATATTTGCATTAGTTTGTAATCTAATTGGTTTTTCAACACCATATTGGATTCAAATATGGCCTCGGTATATTTATTACCAAAAAAAAAAACAATATTTATTTTTGAAATTCTTATTTATTTAATTTTCAGTGTCGGTGATACAACATTTCGTAAATTAGGACTTTGGCAAGTATGTATAGCTGGTTTTCGTAATCCGAAAAATTATTGGGGAAAAGTTTATTATGGTTGTTGGTGGTTATATGCACGTGAGTATAATGGATTACGAGACGATGGAATATTAACACCAGGTAAATCGAATATTTTAATTTTTTGTAACAATGAATTCAATTATTGACTTTATTACAATTAAGCATGGTTTACTGCTGTGCAAATATTTGCATGTTTTGGTTTAATATTTAATATGCTCGGTTGTGTTGCATTAATAGTTGTTGCTATTACACGATATCGCTTATCGCGTCGTTCAATGCTTATTGGTTGTATACTATGTGCATGCGCTTGTAAGTGAATAAGTTGTTGTTATTCTTTACTGTAAAATGCTAAAGACTGAGGAAGCATTTATTTATGAGCTTTGAATAGTCTATAGAAGGTTGCTAACATGTAAAAGAACTACTTGTTTTGTTTTTTTAAAAAGATATTTTTCAATACTCTTTTTAGCATTTATTAGAAAAGACGATTAGAAAGGCTATTCGGTGTGGCCAAGCATTACAGAATTTTCAAAAAATGAAATTCTGTTTAGTAAAGCTGAGAGTTTAGCATTCTATTATGAAACGAAGCAATATACAAATAAACTTTCTGCATAAAAGTTATTTAGTTTTTAACAAGCTTTCAAAATATCAGGTCATATCTTAACGTGTATAACTGCATCAGATAACAAACTAAATATTGTGTGCGTTAGGAAGTTTTGCAAAACTCACAGTTTGGATTAAGATGAAGGCCAAAAGTGTTCAAAACAACCAGATGTTTGTTATTGGAATCAGATTCTGCATTAAATTATTCATTTTTCACTAGAATTCAACGAAAACAAAAAAATTTCAACTTTTTCGAGCCGAGAAAAATAAAATTTGAAGTTTTGATTAACTATTTACTCCATTTTGTTCAGAATTCGATGCTAATTCAAAATATGTACGTAAGTATAAACAAAAACAGTCCGAAACACTCATCGGTCTAAAAAACATCGCAAAATTCAGATACTAATAAAATTCCATAACGCAGTATTTCTAGAAAACGGATGCGAATATTAAATCAAACTTAATTGAAAATGGATGTTTTCGATAGAACTTGTTGAGTGCTATCTGGAGACTTCGTTTTTGTTGTAACAGAAGCGAGTAAAATACACTATCAGCGAGTTTTTTTAGAGGATTTCATCAAAAAATAGAGATGGTTTATCTTGGTTCGTAGACATCTAATATTTTTACGAAAGTCAGATGCAGAGAGAGAGAGAATACTGCATATCCGATTGATTGATAACTAATTGAAGAATTTGTTTCTTGTTGATTAATCGTTGTTTAACAACATATTCTGCTACTATACTGTCTTTTACACAAATTTTCGAGTTGACCATTCTAAGAAAAATTTCGCGTGTCGAGAACACTCAATGCTACTCAGGAATAGAAACGCTTTCATTTCAAATACTATCGATCGTTCTCTTTTTAATGATGGACTCAGTTTTCTTCACTTTTAAGTTCGAACTCTTTTCATGTATGAATGACCAATGGCTGATTATGCCATATTCTTATTGAGTCTAGAACAAAAATAAACTACAAACTATAGGATGTTTTAGCCAATATAGGTATGATTAATCATAGAAATATTGTCATTTATTTGCTTTAATTAAAACTGTTCAGAAGTTTACAGCGGGTGATCCAGAATAAATGGTATACTTAGCATTTTCACTATAAATTTTTTCAGCTTAACTTTGTTTTTAAAAAGATTTCGTCATTGAATTCTTTGCAAAAATATACATTTTATTTTATGTAAATAGTTTCCATATATTTTTAAAGCACGTTTTTGTTTTCGAATTAGTGTTGTCTCATTTTATTTATTGAACAAACTTATCCCATATTAGGAAGTCTTAGAAACTGATATGAGACAAATTTGAAGGCTAATGATCTTTGTCAATAAAAACACACAAATTATCATGATATCGATATTTTTTGTGGAAATGTTTGTTTTTTTGATTCAATGGCATCATTCTTATCAGTTTCATTATGATTCACTGCCCATATAAGGTTACTTTGAACATTGTACATGCCATTTAAGTCACGCATTTTTTTATCCGAAAAAAAGAATTTTTAATGTTAGTTCTCTTCGAAAATTGTTTCATATCCAGTTAACGAATTTAATTCTTTTAGCTTTTTGAGTATCAGAAAGCAATGGTGGTTCAATTCTTTTCTTGTACACTCATAATTCAAGATCATTTTAAGAATCTGTTGAATGCTTATTCTTAAAATATTGAGTTCATTGAACAATTTTCGCGATAATACTAGTTTTTTACATTTTGATCGATTTTTGACTTTGGATATGTTTTCCTTTGTTCGAATTAACTTTGAACAATTTGATGGATGTATTTATCGGATAGGACCAGTCTCTCTGGTCATTGTGCATCATCGATTTATTGTACGAAATCCCATGACACCTTTGATATGACTAAATATTTTTAGTAGACTATATCCTTTTTAGTACTTAGAAAGTACATTGAATAAAATAAAACTTAGTCTTACGATGAAAGTTCTCTAACTATTCAATCGCTTTAGAGTTGAGACTATATGTATTATGTAAATCCAAATAAGTTATGAATACTTTGAAAAGAATTCATGCTCTTAGCTTATTGCTACGAAGATACTGCACTTATACGGTATTGTTTAAATGCTGTAGTCTGCCTCAAGAAAACTGATTTTCAAATTTCGACTTGAAACTTTGCATAGAGACAGACCTTAACGAGAATAATTTATATCTAAGATACAACTATGATAATAGCATGTCTTTAACATCATTCATATAAACCAGCATATTTAATGTTCTTATTTCATGATAGAAGCAAATCAAAAGATCTGAAGCTACTCTCCATAAAACCTACGTCTATGCAAAGTTGCAAATCGAAATTCGAAAATCAGTTTTCCTGATGAGAATCACAAAAATTATTTAAGAGTACTGTAAAAGTGTAGCATCTCTCTAGCAATAGACTGAGGGTACGAACTCTTTTCGAAGTATTTCATACCTCATTTGGGTCTGCGTAATGCACATAGTCTCGACTCAAAAGTGATTGAACAGTTGGAAGTGTTTTCTTGTTAGACAAAAATAAATGATAGAGTTATAGCGCAAATAATATGTTATTTATTGTTTTTATTTTTTCTTTTAGGGTTTTGTAATTTTCTTGCTGTTCTTCTATTTGGTATCTATGCCGATGCTATTCCAGGCAAATGGATGCCTCGAGCTGATTATACATTTTTATCATGGTCTTATCATTTTATAGTTGGTTCAATGATATCATCATTTTTGGCTGGTAAGATTCTTTTGAACTTTTCTTTCATAAATGATTTATTTATTTTTTCTTATAGTTGGTTTTGTTGTATTTGAAATCTATTTTATAACTGAAGCAAAAAAAAATAATAATGAAAAAACATTTATTCGTCATGTTGGTAATCCAAATCAACCATTTGTTCGTCATGGTGAAAAAGATGAACCACCATTTGTACGTAGAGCTACAAATGGTGAACAACCATTTGTACGTAAAACATCAGATGGTGAACAACCATTTATACGTAAATCTGATAATGAAAATGAACATGCATTTATACGTCGTTCTGATGGTTCATTCTCTGAAGAAGCATTCATACGTCGAGCTAATGGTGGATCAGATGGTGACGAAGCTTTTATACGACGTGCAAATGATACGAAGAATCAGGGAAATAATTATGTAGTTTAAAATGATTAGGAAAAAAATAAAAGAAACATATTAATATAGATTTTATCAAAATCCTATGTACAGATAGATCTGAGATATTATTTATCTGTTTTTTGTGTAAAATTTGTTTTTTTTTTCTACTAATAATCATTCCATTTGGCTTTTTCTTTTGTGCATAATTTTATATTTGTCGTGCTTTTTCTTTTATAGTTATGTTAATATTTCTTAGATATGAAAGAATATCTTTGTTTTCTCATTTTATTTCATATTATTTACATAAAAATTTGTATATTAAAGTTCTTGCATATGCAATACACATTTTGATGTTCGTCTGCTATTTAAATGAGAACTCATAACTGTATCATTACTTGATCGTTTTGATGAATTATTTAAATGACAAGTTTGGTGTATAGAATTAGATCGAAATTTATCTCGACGATCATATTGAATTTCATTACGCATTTCTATACCAAATGTTGAATTTGTTTGAGCATAACTTGAACTTCGTTGTCGTTGATAATTATCATCAAATTTTGCTCGTATATAATCATAAACATCAGTAAATGTTTGTAAACAAGCTGCACGAAATTTTGAACCAGCCATATAATAAAATAAAAAATTAGTCTAAATAGAAAAAACAATAAAGGATTCCGTTGGATTTGGTGATCTATCTTGAACAACGATATCATATATGCGATTTTGTAGCGCATCGAATAGTATATAAGAAATCAAATTCTATAAAAATTTTTATGCGTTAACAATCGATACACTGATTATAATCTTGAGGAGTATGTACGGTACTCATAGACATTGCGGTTCCTAAAATGTTCTAAGATAAACTTATGGAAGTTTTATTTTTAATCACCATTCGATACAGTTATAAGTGCTACTTTAACTTTCTATAATCAATAGTTTCCATCGTTGCTTTTCTCATACTTAAAAATGATTTCTTTTCTCAGGTCTAGGTTATTCTTGGCTGTATGAAACTGCAATGTGCTCAACTCGGTCGCACAGAACAAGTTGATAAAAACGAAAAACTTTCTCAAAAATTGTACACTATCGAGCTCGATATGTATCATAGATAGCATCTTTTGGAACAGTTGGGGCTCATTATCAATTTGCAAGATTGTCCGCTATATTATCCTATTTTGCTATATGAAGAGGTAGGTATATTGATGATATTTTAACAATACTCAACGATTCTATTAAAAATGTTTATGCACCGCTATATCAACACAACGTTTCTGATGAATTGATATGAATGACTCCTTTACAAATAGAAAACATATTTTTGATCTTCGAATCCTTGGAGGAGAGACGGTACAAGGATATGGTTGCAGGAACAATGGTCTTTTATTCTTATTATTTTTTTTTTCAAAACTTTATTCACAGTATCCAGCTTTGATTTACGCATGAAAATCTAGAAAAATTTACAAATAGTTCATGCTTATTTCAAAAATGAATTTTTTCCATTTATAAACAAGTTATTTATATCAGTCCATCAGAAATGCTGTGCTGATTACCGATACATAGAAATTTTTAGTAGAACCGTTGACTATTGTTAAACTATCGTCAATATACCGGTCTTTTCATTTTGGGAAATGGGCTATCCTAAGGAACAATCTTGCAAGTTGATAATGAGACCCTACTATTCGAAAAGATGTTATCTATGAAACATATAGAGCTCGATAGTATGCAATTTTTGAGAAAGTTTCACGATGGTACTTGTTTTGCGGCACAGAGTTAAACACTAGAATATTATATATCCCAGAAATCACCTAGACCTAAGAAAAGGAACCATTTATAAGCGATAAGAAAGCAACGATGAAAACTATTGATTATAGAAAGTTAAAGAGTACCCAAAATTGTATCGAATTGAGTTTAAAAACAAAACTTTCATACGTTTTTCTTAGAATATGTTACAAATCAGAATGTCTTTGAGTACGATTACAACCAATGTATTGACCTTTAGTACATGAAAACTTTTATAAAACTTGATTTCTTATATGCCATTCAATGTATCGCAAAACCACACATAGAACATCCTAGTTCAAGGTAGATCACTAAATCCTGCCAGGTCGTTTGTTATGAGATGATTTGTTTTTTTTTTCTTTATTATTCTACAAATAAACTTACTGCTGAACTCATTTGAAGCCAAAGAACAGTTAAATTACTTCTTAAAAAACGCATTTTAAGTCGTCGAACATCTCGATACTTTGGTGGATTTCTCTGAAGTATATAATCAACAATAGCTGGTGTTGTAAATAAATAAAAACTTAATGAAACTGTAACAAGCATCAGAGTTAATTGTTGTTGTTTTCTATTGAATGAAGTTGCATTTATTTGATGTATAGCATTTTCTGGATTGATTAATTGTTGTGTTCGTTGTCGTCTAGCCATAAATAATTCATAAATAATAAATAAATTAACTAATAATATAAGATCAGGTATAAAATAGAATACAGTTGGTTTTATAATTCTTATTAATATTTGATATTGTTTACGAACAACACATTTGTTTTGTGTTTTATTTAGTGTATATATAAATGGAAGTGTTAAAGAAAAGAAAGTCAATGCAGTAAATATAAGTATATACATTGAACGGCGTGCACGTTGTATTGTACAAAAACGTTTAGCTAAGAATGGTGAATGAACAGCAATACAACGTTCTATTGTCATAACAACCATAATCCAAACACTACAAAATGTAACAAAATCCGTTAGATAAGTAAAAAGACAATGTAAAATATATGATTTTATTGTATGTAATGTCATTAAACCTGTAAGATGAATGATAAGAACTAATGTATCAAATATAGCTAAATATGTTATAAATACACTTGATGATGTATGCCGTAATGAACGACGATTAATAACAATAAGTGCAAGACCATTTCCAAATACTCCAAATAAAACCATACAAAATTCAATAATTATTAATCGATAATTTACTTGTTGAATAAATTCATTTATTTCAGCACGTATTAAAGCATCACTTGATTTATTAATCGAGGAATGATTATTATAATATTTATTATCCAATGTAGAAACAGATTGAATATTATTTTCTTTCATTATATTAAAAAATTCTATAAAATTTGAACATTAATGGAAATAATTGTTTAATAGCCGATAGAGTTCTCTTTTATCAAAATTTTATCGATGAACTATGGTAGCAAGCTTTCTATTAAAAAAACCTAGACACGATAGTTTTCAGGTCCTAGAATTTGTCGGAGCTATTTGTTAATGATGCCGTTTTAAAGAGCATAAAATGAAGAGTCGTCGCATTTTCTCCTCTTTAAAATAGCATTGTTAAAGATCGACTCCGACAAAGTCTCCTGGAGCCTGAAAACTACATGTTCGGTTGTTTTTTTAAAATCTTGCCGTTATAGTTCATCTAATATAGAACGCATTAAAATAGAAAATTCCATTGACTATTAAAATCACTATCTGGAGTTGAGGTAAATGCTCAACATGATAGAAAAAAAAAAGTTGTTGTTAAACTTGTTTCCCATTATCATACATTTAGCATTTGAAAGACAGTCAGAAAAAAGGAAGTTTGCGAAAACATTATCGAAATAAAACAATACAATACAACTAGTTTTTTCGTTAAAAAATAGAAAACTTGTAAATGAATGTCCTATAATGGAAAGAAAATGTATTATACGATGTAAAAAAAATTAAGCGCATGTCAGTCATCTTATGCACTATAATCTTCCGAAACTATGATAGATAGTAATATCGATAACAATCCGTTCCAACTGATATCCTTCGTTTTATTAGACTTAACATTTATGCAAATTTTTTTTTGTAGTTTTCTCTTGTATAAAATATTGCTTTGGGACTACAAAATGTTTTAAGCTACTTTATTGGTGATCCTATACAGAAAAATTAGGTGAATCTTTTAGTAATAAATTCAAATAAAACTCCATAGAATGAAGATAATTTAAGGTTAGAATATCCATAAAAAGTTATTAGACATTCATTAAACTTCTGTTTGTTTAATATTAGCCCAAAATGTAGAACTTTTTGGTAATATATCAAGTTAAATTCACATTTGTTACAAAGAGTATTTAATTCTTTGTCGCTTCATATAAGAGTTACTATTGTTTCAGTGCAAAAGTCACACATGAGAAACATTACTCTTCTTTCTAGCATAGTTCGATAGTTTACACTTAAATAATAATGATAGTCGTTTGGTATATGGTTCTATGCGAGCCGTTCTCTCTTATACTTTATTCGATTCATGCTTGGTCCGAGATACGTAAAGTATGCATACAATGTTGAGGATACGAAAAGAGCTCTTTTCTACTCGGTTTGGAGCATATTTTAAGAGAATAAGTAGATTTTCTATTTAAACAAATAGTATATTTGAAATCAGCGCGAAAAGCTGAGTCATTCTCTGTACTATTGAAAATCTTTCAAGTACTTTTATTTTTGTTCAAAAATTTAGCTGAAATCTCCTCAGGAATAAATGGAAAATCAAAATTGATGGAAAGACTATTTTGATTAATTAATTAATTGTTTCTTTTGAATTGTCTCAATTTTTCTGAAGTGCACAATTTATTTTTTTTCCAATCAGACTGGTGTTCTGATGAAGTTTATTTTTTCAACAATTCGTGAAGGGAGAGCTCAGCTAAAGTTTTAGACTAAAATAAAAGTACTCAACAGATTTTAAAAAATACATAGACCGACTCAACTTTTCATGCTGATTTCAAATATAATATTTGTTTTTATCAAAGACCTACGTCTCTCATGAAATATGCTCAGAATCGAGTAAAACAGTGCTCTTTTCGTATCCTCGAACGTTGCATGCACACTTTACGTATCTTGAATCAAGTCTGAGTCAAATGAATTGTATGTCATTTTGTAGCTCTCACTTTGCTTTATAGAATAAAGTATAAAAGAGAGTGGCTCGCATAGAAACATATACCGAACAATTCTAATTATTGTTTAATTGTAAGCTATTGAATCATGCTAGATAGAAGGATAATATTTCTCATAATTGATTTCTATACTAAAACAATAGTAACTCTTATATGAAGCGACAAAGAATTAAATACTCTTTGTAACAAATGTGAATTGAACTTGGTATATTACCAACCAGTTCTACATTTTGGACTAATACTAAACAAACAGGAGTTTAATGAATGTCTAATGACTTTTTATCGACATTCTAACCTTAACATGATCTTCATTCCGTGAAGTTTTAGTTAAATTTCTTATCAGAAGATTCACCAAATTTTTCTATATAGAATCATCAATAAAGTAGTTTAAAATATTTCGTGGTCCAATATCAATACCTTATGGGTCTCTGTCCTTTCTTTAAATCATATATGTAAATTCAATTCTCATAGGTCTGAAGATGCAATTGTCTTCGAACTATCCGTATAAGCTTAACTTTTTATTTGCGCAAAAAAAAGAAACATTAATGTGTACAATAAATATAGCTATATTTCCGCATTTGTGTCAACATTAATGAGGAAAATGATTTCTCTTTGAATAGACAAAAAAGAAGAAAAAACCTCCAAGGAGTATGCATTCATCATTGGTTCAAGCAACAAACAAGCAAAGAAAAAAAAAGATGCTATCTATCACTGGACGATTTACTTACTAATAATAACATGAATATTGATTCTTATCTATAGATATATAATCTATTGAGTACAAAAAAAACACAAATTTTTTTTTTATTTGATCTCTCCGAAAGACAAAAGAAGATTATGATCATATTCTATCGACCGTTTTATGAATAATATCATGAGAGTAGATTGATGAGACATGGGAAATAATGTGATCTCTGACACGCACGTCACATTTTTATGATTAATAAGCAACAACTCAACAGACTCATAAAGAGAAATTATGTTAAAAACTATATTTAATAACAATTCATCAATTTTTTGCCAAGGCTAATAAACACTGATAAATCAACAAACATCTGGTATGATGTTCTGGTTGTCGTCGAACGTTGTTTTTCATTGCAATATAATGTATTGTAATTATACGATATACATAAAGAGTACTGAAAGGCATGACCTTATACTTTCATTTAATAATTATATCCAGATCATGCTTCTTTTTTCTTTGACTTTTTGTTTTCTATATCTGCAGGATGATATGGATAATTGAATAATAACTAATTATAATAACAAGAGAGAGAAGAATTTTGATTAACATGAATAAGTTTTTTCTTTTATTATTTTTACATAATTCCTGTGACAATCCATATGAATAGATAAACATGAATGAATTCTAATAAATTAAAATTAACTAATAAATAAATATATTTGTTGGCGTGACAAATTGTCAACCACCTACATATAGAAAGGTTTCAAACTTAAAAGTAAAGAAAGGTAAGTGTGCTATTGAAAAGACCACAATTGATAGTACGTGAAATGGGAGTGTTGCTTTTTCTGAACAGCATTGCATGTTCTAGACACGCAAAATCTCTCCTAGAGTGACCAATGAGCCTTATTTTCAACGCGTTTACTGGTCACGAATATGCATAAACTCAGTCATCTTACTAGCATATACGAGCGCAACGATTGGGAACAAAAGATGGAAGAACAGAGACTGTTCTTAACAACAAACAAGCTAGACCGTGATCAACAAGAAAATTTGGACTAAGACTTATTTAAAAACCTATGTAAAAGATGGTAGTGAAAAATATCTTTGAATAAATATGAACTAATGTGAAAATCATTCCTTAATTAGATAATAATCAATAGAATAACAAATACTCTTTTAATATATGACCTTCATACAAATGTTAGATGTCAACAAATCAAGATAACACTTTTGTAAACCATCTGCATTGTTCATGAAATTTCGTAACAACACTCGCTGATATTGATAATTTTCGCAAGAAAAACAGTACCTTCAGAGCGAATTCATTGAGCTCTATCGTTGATACCCATTTTGATAATAGTTTGATTTTATTTTTTCATTAGTTTTCTAGAAATACTGAGTTACAGAATTTTATTAGTATCCGAAAACCCTGTTATTTTCAGATATATAGATATTTTGTGTTATTTTTATTCATAAAAACACATATATTTTGAATTTATTTCAAAACTAGCATCGAATTCTTAACAAAACTTCAACTTCGATTTTTCTTGACAATTTCTAGTCATTGAATTCTACTGAAAATTTTATCATTTGATGCAGAATTCGATGTCGATGACGAATATTTGGTTGTATTTAGCTTTTTATGCTGTTATCCTAGTCTAAACTGCAATCTTCACTTTTTTATTCGATGCAATTATCCACTTGTTAAGAAATGATTTGATATTTGAAAGCTTTGGTTCGATAGAAACTAATGAAATTCATACTGATACTAGATCTAAATGATCTCTATCTATGATCGAAATTTTAGAGAATCTGCATTTATTATTCCGGAAATATATGTGTTGCAATTTTAAAAAACGAGACTCCATAACGTTTGTCCTTGACGTTGTATCATAATGATTAATTCTCTCTCGTATTTTCCAGCTTTTTGTGTAAACAATCAATCTTATTTTTATTATTGACTTTGAGAGATGGAATCCTTAATAATATCCGATGGAAAGAGATTCGTTACTTATAACAAATAATTAAGTCAGAATTCTATGCGTTTTTGTATATCACAATATTCAAATTATTAGTTTGACATTTTTTTTAATGAAAAATCTGATGTTTCATCTAGATGAAAACATAATTTCTTTTCTCTACATTCATATAATACATATACTCTTATGGAAGAAGCTGAAAAATTAGATTATATTACTTATATGTAGATAGCATTAATTATGGAAAACTAGAATTGAAGAAATACATTGATTTTCTTTCATTGATATTTGTGTTTATATCATTTTCTGGTTGAGAGATCCTAACATTTTGTTGAAGGATACAAAATTTATTTCTCTATAAATTTCCATTAACTTTAATGTAAAATGATGAAACAACAAAAATTGTTTTCATATTTTCAAATTTTTTTTTCAGTTCTAAACAAGAATCTAAAAAATTTTGGTACTTGTGACTAGATTCCATGTCAAATGCGCTTCCAAAATTATCTAAAAATATTTAAATAAGAATCGACACTCACTTAACAGAAATCATCTGTTTAGCGAGTCTACAACTGAAAGCAGCCATCTTTTAAAATTAGTATTTAAACTTTTCCCAGACTTTGACCGTGTGATAAGTATCAACTGTAGAATACTTGTTTTGAAAACGAGCAAGTCAATAAAGAAAATGCCACTTTTCTCAAAATATGGCTCGGTATCTAGTCAAAAGAATACGTCTTATGAAATTGTCTGCTGATAAATAATCGATAGAGCCTTTTGAGTCCGGCTTACAAGAAAGCCTCCTCAGATGTCTCTTTTCGATTTCAATTATTTTTTGCCTATAAATACTACATAGTGTTCTAATAAAAACCTTAAAACAATTTTGATTCGTATTGAGATTCGACTAAACTATCAAGTTTTTAACATGTCTACTTTCTAGAGTCTCCAGATTTCCGGAAAACTTGTATTTTCGAAATTTAATCTGAAGCTTTGCGCAGATAGAGAACTCAACTAAACTAGCTTTCATAAAAGAATTCAGAAGTTTTGAGCAAAGCCTCTTTGAGATATAAGACTTTCAAGTTATAGATCCTTTCCTATGGATAGTGTATATAATATGCATTCTTTGAAATTTTCATATGTTTAAGAGATTTTGTTCGAACTTTTTAATATTTTTAAGGAAACTAATCCAGTTGACTTCTCTAAATGCACAAAGTTTCAGAGCAAAATTCAATGGGAACATAAATCTTTGCAGGATTTTGATTAGGACATTATGTAGTATAAAGTCATTGAAATCGAAGGAAAGCAACTGAGGAGGTTTCCTCGTTAACAATAAATTATATTTTGAAAGCTTAATATTCCTTGACATAAAAAAATTATACACTACTAAAAATTGCATGGGTAATAGATGCTATTCACCAGATCACATAATGTAGTCTCTATAATTGTTGTGTTCCATCATTTTAAATTAAAGCTAAACGAAGTTTATAGAGAATAAAATTCTGTGTCCTCTAATAAAAGTGTTAGAACCGTGCAATATTTCTCTGCTTAAATATTTGAATAAGACAAAATTGTTTTAAATTTTTTGCTACGCTCAGTGTATAGAGACTACTAGTTCATAATCAACATTAACGAGGTTTTTTTGGCACTTAAAATGAAAAATTAGACATCGACTTTGATTAAGCTTACATATCTGAAAAAAAAAACGAAAAGTTTTGATTGGAAGATTTATCATCTATATTATAAAGAAAATATTCGATCTATGTTCATTTTTAGACAGTAGAAAATACGTGTTGATGATGGTACATTATCCACATGTTCTGATTACACGTTAGATTTTTTTCTAACACAAGTTAAATCAAGTTAATTTAGAGATGTGCAGTTTCGGTGAAAATACTGAGATGTTGACACTGAGTTAACAACAGTGAGTCTACTGACGCACGGGTTCAGTGTAGTCACTGAATGTCAAGATGAGTTATCGGTGAACAGTTTACTGAAACTGCACATCCATAAGTCAAATCACAAATTATTGATGTGAACTTTTTTCAAGTTTCGTAATTTACTTATGTATCAATTTATTGAAAAAAATTTTTTACATCAGTTCCTGATTACATTTTAGCAAGGTTAACATTTGTGATATCTTTCTTGACATATTGACTCTATGTTATCGAAATAGAAAACCACTTTGAGAAAATATTTTTTTCTACAAGTGATAACGTTGCAAAAACTATCAAAACTTTCATTATCAATTCATTCAATGATTTGTATTTAATCGATTGATTAATAAAAATAAATCTTTTCGAATGATTACCATCATCACTAAAATAATTAGTAATTTCATCTTTGTTAAATACAATATTATCAACATTTCCCTTTTTTTTTGTATTGCTGTATTCAATGTCTAAGAAAAATCTATTGCGCTTTAGTGTTAATTATTTGATGATAATTGTTTATCATCTGTAGCATTAGTTTCAAGCGCTGTTGTTGTTGTTGACTAATAATTTATGTTGAAGTATTATAATCGAATAGAATTTTCATATTAGAACAAAAATTATAACTTTACATAATGTGAATCTAATATATATTGTAATTGCAAAAATATGTCTGACTTGACCTGCTTATTTCTACAATAAATTTTCTTTTAATTGATTTTTTTTTGAATGAGATGCAAATTTTGAGTAGAACATTGATTTCTTTTTATATGCGATGTATATAAATTATTACATAGACGGGGTACAAAAAATATTGCATTTATACTTTAAAAGGTCTAAACCACAAGAATACCACTTAATTCGTGCATGAATACAACTATCAAGTTGAATTTATCTATTGTTGCATGTCAATAATATGTTTTACTTGAATGAATATTTGATTATTTGTTATTTATAAATGTATATATATATATATATTCAATTAGAATGTCACACAGAGATTAATTAAATCAACAAACAATCAAGCGATAATTATATGTAAATAGATAATTTAATATATAAACAATGCGTAGAAACTCATGTTCCAAAATTGTTTAAACTGAAGGTCATTTCGTTTACATCGAAGAAAATTTGAATATTCTATCGAACAAAACTTGCTCATAAAGATTTCTGATCGGATTTATTTTATCATTCATAGAAACTTTGAACTTTTCATATCGTTAAAATCGGCTCAGTTTTGACGGTCGATCGATGATTATTTGGACTGATGCGATTAATTGACGATTTTGCAACAAACTTCAATAGTAAATATTTATTTACAAAAAATTAGATTTTTTTTTCTTTTATTTAGATCCATTGCAATAATACAATGAACAATAAGTATTATAGCTATAAAAAAAAAAGTCTATTGTTTTTTATTATTTACAGCACAGAAGCGAGGACCACATCATCTATCTCATCATTCATGAGAAACTCTTATGTGTACAATGGTAATGGACGATCGTATACTCGTCGAGGCGCACTTGCACTCATAGAGCCGAGTATTACAAGTAGATCCAATCATCTTAAACGTCGTTGAGGAAATCGCGATTTCCTGTAAAAATCGGGAAAATTTTTTTCAGTGATTTAATTGCAATAACATCAGCAATTTTGATCACATCGGTTAACTTGATCAGAATTCTTTAGAATTAAGTTTCAACATTCAACATGCTCATTTATCGCATATAAATTAAACGAAAATACTATACGAAACTCTGTACAAGAAGTACATTATTGAAATAAAGAAAAAAACATTGCTATACATTCATTTCTATTTATTCGTCATTAAAATATTCTTTCAAATAATTTATATTTAGTTTTATTAATTTTAGTTTAAAAGCATAGATTCATAGAATAAAGAATTAATAAATTATTTTATGTTAGAATTGATGTTTAAATTGAATCACATTTTGCATCAGCCATTTGACTTGTAATATTTGTTAAATTTGAACGAAAATTATTTCCAATAGATGAATATGGAAATATAAATAATAAAGCCGTACACGGCATAGCTATAATAAATAATATAAAGAAAAGACGATCAAGTACTAATGCAACATGTTGCCATTCATCTAAACGTTGTCGATATTCAAGTTTTAAGAATTCATTACCAACGTCATATTCATTGTGAAAATTTAATGGTAATAACCATTGTGTACGTATATGAGTTTTTACTTGATGTAAAACTTTAAGTAATTCAACAGCCTTGAAATAAATAATGACAAAAAAGAGAAAATAAATAATTTCAATTTTTTTTAATCTATTACCTGATGATTAGATGATTGAACTGGTGTTGTTACAGTGAACAATTGACACATACGTTTTTCAATACTACTTAATCGTCTTGATCTTTTTTCTTGAATATTATATTTTAATACTTTACGATTTTTTAAATGTTTATTTACATTACAATAAACTAATGGACTTAAATAATCAAGTAAAATTATTTTCATATGTGTTGGTACACATGCTATATTTGATGTTGTTGGCCGATGATATAAATATGAAACATAAACAGTCATAATACATGATAAAATAACTAGAAAAAAATTTGCATTACAAAATAATGTTAATATAGGTGTTTCATCATCCGATTTTGGTATATATCCACTAAGTAATTGTAAATAAATAACTAATGATAATAATATAGTTACATTTAATGTTAATTTTTCACCTGTTTGTGGTGGTAATAAAAATGTAAATAATGTTACAAATGAAACAAGTGTAAATGGTAAAATAATTTTCATAAAATAATGTACATAATTACGTTTTAATATTAATGTAAAACGTACAAGACTATAATCAACTTGACCAAAATCAGATACACGTTCATCAGTTATTTCTGTATAAGAATTAATTAATTCCCATTCACCACGAATAAATGAACGACCTACAATAGGACGTCGTTGAATAAATTTTATTGATTGACCATCACGTGAACCACTACGTATTATTATTGTACAATGTTGATAATCAAATGGAAAATAAGTAGCACGAACTTTACAAATTGTTTTCCATAAATCTTGAAACATAAATCGAACATATCCTGAAAACAACAAAAACAAATTCAAATATTGGTTCGAATATTCAATAAAGTTCTCTATTGAATGCATTCCATACTGGAATTTCATAGATGAACTGTGATAAGAAGGGTTTTTGAAAAGCCAAACACGGTAGATTTCAGGTCTAAGAAGACTGTATAAAAACTAGTAAGACTGAATAAAACGAAGACTTGCCACATATTCTACAAACTTCGCTTAAGAGGCTATAAACATCACAAAAAATGGCAAAAAAAGCAAAATCTATCATAGTATTGCTGAAAATTGGCTAAATAACGTATTGGTTTTTTTTTGTGATGATCATTACTTTTTAAGGAAAGGTCGTACAAAATGTGACAAGTCCTTATTCTATTCAAGATTTTGCGCTCTTTAAGATGGTACTCTTACTCATTTTTATAACGTCTTTTCGAACTTGAAAACTACTGGATTTGGTGTTTCAAAAACTTTCCTCTCATAGTCCATCTATGAAATTCCGCGATGAAATGCATTCGATAGAGAACCTCAGTGCCTATTCAAACTACAATTTCGGTTTGAATTAAATGCTTGATATCGTAGAACACAATCAAAAACACCAATTGGTCTTATATGTTTTTGACCAATACTGTATGTTCAATGTTATTCTAAAATAATTGAATACTATGCTTACGCGAGAACTACCTCAGCTAATACTCGCTGTTTGAGCTCATATTCGGTTCATAAGGCGGTCTCGGTAAGGCTAGAAAAATTTTAAAAGAGTTCGTTTCGATGGGTCTTTGGGGCCAAATTATGACCGTTTTACTGAATTTTCGATCGAGAATTAGGTAATTATCGAAAAATCAAATGATGGTATTTTCATCTACAATTTCACCTATAAACAGGTCGAATGACTAGTAGAATATCATGAAAGTTTCAGCCAATGCTCGTTTATTGAGATATTGAATTTCTACGAAATAGTTGGTTGTCATAAAAATCGAGTTAACTTGAATTACTTGATTTTTTCGGTAAATACCTAAAGTGGGATCGAAAATTCAGTAAAACAGTCATAATTTGGCTCGAGAGGTCTATGAATATGAGCCTATTTAGGATTTTTCGACTCTTACCGAAATCTTCTTGTGAACTGAATATGAACTCAAACGACGAGTATCAGTTTGGATAGTTCTCTCGTCAGTAATTTTACATTGAATATTGATCTAACCATTGAATAGATTATAATCTAAACGGTTTCAATAGAAAACGAGTATGCACACATTGCATATTCTACATTAAAAATGACTAAAAACTGCCTATTAATTCTAAAACTGCAAAAATAAGATTACAATTAAAAAACAAAATTCTTTTAATCTTTCTTTTTTTTTTGTTTTTAACAAAGAAAATCCTTAAAACCTACCGTCGTTTCGAAGAATCAATGCATAATGTTCTCTATTTCGTGAATATTTTCCATCGGCTGAATTGACTAAAACAACATCTGGTGTCCATAAATAATTTGAACCGACAGAAAGTTCTGTTATATTATAGTCACTATCATTCCATGACATGTATGGATCACACCAAGCGCATATCAGTTGAACATTACTTGTTACTACCTATATTATTTTAGAGAATAATCATTGAACTATTAAAAAAAATCGAACGCTCAAACCTGTGCTTTTTCATCAACACTTTCAATTTGAAGTAAAATTAAATTTGTATGAACTTTATTGATGCCTACGACTGGACAAACTCGTCGATCATATGGTCTTTCAAGAAATAAAAATTTTCGAAGTTCAACTTCATTCGTATTGACATATGGAAATTGTAAAAGAATATTTAGTGATAAAAATAAAATTCCTTGTAAAACAATAAATAATTTAGTTGAATAAGTCATAACGTTATTCTGATTTGACTGAACAAATAAGTCAAAACAAAAAAAAATGTCTATAGACAGCAAAAGAGAGAAAAAAATCTAAGCAAATCTCGAAGGATTGATCTTCTCTGTATGTAAATCGACCTCATATCGAAACTGACAAGCTCAGTCAATGACAGTCCTCTCGTTTCCATATATATGTTCTTTTCTTATATTTTTCTCTGTCTTTTTCTAATCGACAGAACTCTATTACTACGCACTAGTTGTTAATCCAGTTGAGACTAGCCTAAAGCCTTATTATATGAAATAAGAAAAAGGCGAACGACAAATTGAGAACATATCTTTATCGCTTGTCATTATGTCAAACATCGATTATTATTTCGTTTTATTTTAACAAAATGATTGTATGCCACTCCATCATTATAAATAATTGTGACTGTAACAAAATAAAAGAAAAAGGCTTATTCATACAAAAATATACATAAAATGGTTTAATGCTTGTTTTTTGTTTTCTTCATCTTTTTTTTTTCTCTAAAAGTTACAAGCAGTGAAATAAAGACAGAACAATGTAAAATGTTGCTATGAGATGTTGGTAGCCAAGTTGACATCGAACTATTTGAAAATAACAAACAAAACTCTCAAATACTCTCCTTGATCAATTGTGTTCTTTGTATTGTCAAGCAAAGAAAAAGAGAAAGAGTGAACCAGACAGAATTTGTTTGGACTAATAATGACACTTTTTTATACAAAAATGTAAAACTGAGCATTGCATTTAAATAAAATTTTATATGAAAAAAAAAAAGGTATCCTGTTAATGATGCTTTGATTAAGATACTTTCATTGAATACGGAACATTTCAATAATAGAAAAAAAGCATGTAAAAAAAAAACATGAGAATATATAACGTTGCTACATTCTTCTTTTATAATTGTTTCAATTTTTCTATTTCGATTTGTTTTATTGACATATATAATTGCACGTCGGAAAGAATAGTGAAGTCTACTATAGTGCATTTGGTTGTCATCGTTAATAAGAGTAAACAGAATACTACAAAACTATACTTTTCTTTTTTTTTTTTTTTTTGTTAAATCAAAATAATTAGTAAGTACGAATTTGTTTTTATTTTAAACATGAACATCTAATTTTTAGATATGGCACTTTTCGAACAAACACCTTCGCGTAGTGGTTCACGTTTTGGAAAACTTTCATCAAATATGTTCTTTACTCGAAATACAGCTAAACCAAAACGTGTACGACATATTGAAGGTAGTTAAGATATTTCTAAAATGATTTGTTTTTTTTAATCATTTATCGGTTTTTTTTTTCTTAATAAAGGACTTAATGGTGCATTGATTTGTAGTGTAAATGATGATCCGTCTGTTGTTCGTTCAACGTCTGCTACTTCGCTTGGTTTTAGTCCAACTAATTTACATTTGTTTGAAACTTCACGTCGTGCTGAACGATTAGTTCCTCCAATGGGTTTTTGGAATACTTATGGTGTTAGTAAGTTTTTTGTATTATATTGTTTGTTTTTTTCTTCACAAATATATTTTTCAAGTTCAAGATACAGAACGTTGGCGACAAGAATTGGCTTCTTTAGCAAGTGCTAGTGGACTTGGACTTGAGAAAGATGAACATAAACATTATAATAGACCAGCAACTATAACTGATCAACAACATGCTTCACGTTCTGGTGCACATTATTCAACTCGAACAGGTCGTTTTAATGAAGGAACTGCAAAATCACGAGGACGTACAGGTTCTAAACATGCTACACCATATTCAGATATGTTATTTAATGTACCTGAACACGAAAGAGAAATGTGGGTAAGAGACAAACAAATTATTTTGTTTTTATTATTACGAATCAAAATTACAAGAAAAATTCATATGAAAATATTCCAAAAGAACAAAGGAATCGAGAATATTAAACTTTACTCTTATATTGAATACAAACATCTTAAGATTTTTTTTTTATGAGAATTTCAAAAATATAACAGTTGACATAATTAGTAGAGTATAAATAATCATGTAAAATACTAATTAAAATATCTCATAATTGAAAAGGTTTCTATAAATTAGATGTTACAAGTACTTTGTCAACTTCTTGGTACAAGTAATTTGGAAGATGTTCAATCATGGCTTGTTTCTGCTTCACAAACTGGTTTGTTCATTTGTTTTATATTATCTATCATAACGACATTTATTTCTGTTTTCAAAGAAAAAGAACAAGCTCGTACAATGATTAGTTCTGCACTTCAAGGATTAAAAGAATCTGAACGTACAACAAATCAATCAGAACAATCGGTTGATCTTAATACATTATCAAATTTTATTGAAAAGTAAACTAAATTTAACAAGTATATTTTTCGGAAACTCACATATATTTTTGAAGAAAATAGTGAATGTAAGTTTTGAGTCGAAGTTTTTCGGCTGTCACTCCTTCATTACAGACTTTAGCTACGGAAGACAATAGGTGTTAGATTTTTTTCTGACTACGTCAAATATCACTATCCACAAGTAGAATAGTATGACAGCTCATCAGTTGAGTGTCGGTATTGATTTCAGATTGACTGACCTACCCACATTAGTACTGTCGTGAAAAATCCCGACTGCTTCCGTTTCTGCATTAAACCATCAATTGAATTATTCAATAATTTAATAACAATGATCGTCGCTTTCAAGGGCTTTCTAGATAGAACAAGCGTGCTTGTAAACGACTGTAAGTGGTCATTATTGGCGTATTACATTACATGAATCAATATTAAGATCGCGTTTCTCTCAATATGATAATGAGAAAGGTGATTGTTTACGAAGTTTGTATACGGATTTCGTATTCTTGGTCCAGAGACATCAGTCCTCCGTTAATGAAATCCTAATGCGTAGTTGCTCTTTTTTTGTTATCTTTTGCGGTCATATGTACTATAGTTACCATATGGTAGCTATGTTACAGACAAACAGACACACGTGAATTCCCGCTTCTAGACTCTATCCTTGCAGTCTAGGGAATAAAATTGATTGCTTCTCTGACGATCGATTATCTGGAAAAACAACTATAGTCTGTCAGAGATTTTTCAGTATGCATGTTTTGCATTAATATAATGAGATAAAGAACATATGTGAGTTCCACAGTTTAGCCTGAATGTGACTGCACTAAAAAGCTTTTTATTCATATGTTTTCGATTTAGACAAAAAAATGAAGAAAAACAAGCATCACAAAAATACATGAAAGAATCTGTTAATCGTCCTCCATCAACATTACAATCAATCAATGAAGAACAACAAAATGATTATCATTTAGGTGATGCATGGACTAATTTAATAAATAATAATTATTCGAATTCATCATCACAAAATGCATCAACATATAAACGTTCTCATCAAAATTATAATCGACGTTCATATTCATCATTTGATACAGGATCATCAAATGATAAAACTAATTTATTTAATG